CCGAGCCGAACCGCCGGTCGCGATGCGGCTCGCCGATCGCCGTTCGGGGCAGGGCGGTGGCCTCGGCGTGACGCCCGCCGAAGCGAAGCAGCTCGGTAAGGCCGCGCTCGACGGCGGCAAAGTGGGCGTGCTGCTCGTCGCCGGCGGGCAAGGGAGCCGCCTTGGGTTCGAGAAGCCCAAGGGGATGTTCCCGATCGGCCCCGTCTCCGACGCGACCCTCTTCCAGATCCATTTGGAGAAAGCCGTTGCCCTCGCAAAGCGGCATGGCGTCGGAGTGCCTGTCTATCTAATGACGAGCCCCGTCACGCACGACGACACGATCGAGTTCCTCAACGCCAACAACCGCTTCGGCCTCGCCGAGGACGACCTCTTCATCTTCTGCCAGGGGACGATGCCCGCCGTGGACATGGCGACCGGCAAGCTGCTGCTCGCCGAGAAAGGCCAACTTTTCCTCAGCCCCGATGGCCACGGCGGCACGATCGCTGCGCTCGCATCGTTCAAGAACGCCAAGGGCGAAGGCGCCATCGACCACATGCGGCGTCGCGGCGTCGAGAACCTCTTCTACCTGCAAGTCGATAACCCCATCATCCCGATAGGCGATGCGGAGCTGATCGGCTACCACCTCGCCACCAAGAGCGAACTGACGAGCGTCGCCGTCGCCAAGCAAGAGCCACAAGACAAGCTCGGCAACTTCGTCATGGTTGACGGCAAGCTCTGCGTCATCGAGTACAGCGACTTCCCCGACGACGTCGCCGACCAAGACGACGGCCGCGGTGGTCTACGCTTCTGGGCGGGCAGCATCGCGGTCCACGTCTTCGGCGTGGCGTTCCTCGAGCGAATGCTCTCGATGAAAGACGCGCTCCCGTTCCACATCGCGAAGAAGAAGGTTCCACACATCAACGAGCAGGGGGAGCAAGTCGAACCCGCCGAGAACAACGCTCTCAAGTTCGAGCGGTTTATCTTCGACCTCTTGCCGCAGGCCGAGCGACCGATCGTCGTTGAGTACGCCGAAGAAGAAATCTTCGCCCCGCTAAAGAACGCCCCCGGGGCCGCGAAGGACACGCCCGAGTACGTGCAACGGTTTCTAACCGGCCAGCACCGCGGCTGGCTCGAAGCCGCGGGCGCCCACGTCCCTCAAGACGTGACCGTCGAGATCAGCCCCCTCTGGGCGCTCGACGCGGAAGGCGTCGCCGAGCGCGTGGCGGAGCAGCCGCCGGCGCTTGAGAAGGACACCTATCTGCGGGACTAAGAAGTCAGCCACAAATGGACACGGAAGGGCTATCCGTGTGCATCTGCGTTCATCGGTGGCTCTACTGATTGTGTGATCGATGCTCCATCGCGGTGGCGAGCAAGCGTGGCGCCAATCGCGTAGCCGCATGCCATGCCCAACCAAACTTCAAAGACGAGACCGGCTCGAATAGCGAGTCCAGCTACAGAAATAGCAGCGAGTCCAGTGACCACGTAGGTACAAACCGGCCACGCTGTTTGGAGCTGGATGGGACAGCGGAAGAATCGAGCCATATTGCTTGCACTACCTTCCGCACGTAAGGCAGACATCAGCATTATCAAAGCGCCGCCAATAATTCCCAAGACACTGATCGATCGTTCTGGTTGAAGCTGGCTGATCACCATCGCCGTCCCGAAGCAAATAGCAAGGATTGTGAGGATAGCCAGTACGTCGGCAAGATTGATTCGCATAGCGCATTCCGCAAGTTGAGAAATCCTGTCGATGCAGTGTATCTGCTCGCCCCTCCTATGTGTTCTTCGAGCCTTCGCGAACTGATTTGGGAGCCACAGATGGACACGGATGAACGCGGATGATTGATCCGTGTTATCCGTGGCTTCCCTCTGCTTGCTTAGCGGCGATGATCGATTGGACTTCGTCGATAAGGTCGCGCGGGACGCCAAGGCTCCAATCGGTTGTAAACCCTTTCCCTTTCCGTCGGCGCTGCCAACGGAGTTGACGATCGCCTTCTCGGAGTCGGAACTCATATCGATCCCACGCTAGGAAGCCCGCGCCAGCAGCGACTCCGTTCGACCCGACTGTCACGACGGAACCGATCCATACGATCACGGGGCTGACAGCGAAGAGCACTGCCAGCGGCGCCGGCACGGTTTGCTCGGCCAGCCTGAACAAGATCGCCATCGACAGCAGGAATGCCGGCGCCAGCGTCAACAGGACCCATGTCAACGGCCGCCATCGCCAGGAAGCGAGGCGCGGCCCGGCTCGGTATCGACTGACGATCGTGAGGACGACACCGACGGCAAAGATTGGCAGCATCAGATTGGCCGAGTGTACGCCAGGCGCCTCGCGTACGGGGGCGAGCGCATAGGCCGTCAGGCAAATCACGATCAGAGCCAGTAGGCCGATCAGGTCGCGGTTGCCGAATCGCATACGTTGTCCTCGCAGCATCCGCTTGGTGAAGGGGGGCCCACGGCTGGCGGCTGAAACAAACGCCGGCAAGCTTTCCGGCAACTGCCATCCGCTTTGTCGCTTGTGAACATGATTATACGAAATCGCGCGGCCATTTCCGAGCATAAAGTAATCAATCGGCATGCCGGACGGTGAACACCTCGCCCTCGCGCCAAAGGACGCCCCGCCATTGCAGGGTCGTTGGCCCCTCCTTTGTGTCCTTCGTCTC